TAAGCCATCAGAGGATTATAAAGCACCCCCGCCAGCACAGTGCAGAACCAGCTGCATAGTAACTGACACAGGAAACACCCACTCAGGTTAGGATTGCAAAACATTTCTATTTTGGGTACAGCAACTACAATTGTTATGTGGGTTTCTTAAACATAATAATGGACTTCCTTCTGTCCCAACTACAATGTTAATGATTAACTAGAGTCCAGCTGCCACTAGTTTGCTTGCAACTTTGAAGAGTGTTAATTGGACACAGTGTGACAGATATAGCATTTTCCCGCAATATCACTGAAAAACCTTGTTGAATTAAGTTTAAGGGTCTTTGGAGTCGAGTGTACTAAATGCAAAGGTTATGTATTACTGTGGGCCAGGATTGTATGTAACCTTTCTTTAGGGGGAACATGGGATTTGAACACTGGGAAGTTTTATGAATTTCAAAGGACTATACTGAACAATGTTCCAGACAAGAGTGGACTTTTGGAACAAAGGGCGTCAATTGGTTTGCCTGGGAAATCTCTAGAGGGAGCTGAATGCAAAACCCCAGCCCTTTCAAGCTACATCCCGAGGAGAGGTCCACAGTCTGCTGATTACCTGTTCCTGGAGTCTCAAGATCAAAGGCCCAAGCTCTGTAAAGGAAAGACTAACCTATTCATGCAGGTGCTACTTCTGAGCTGAGGCTGTTATGAACTAGTAACCACACACATACACACACACAAAAGCGCTTTGTGGGATTTGAAAGACTGATTCCTACTAGAGCTCTTGTTGGAGCTGGATGTGATCCCTGGTAAGTTTATTAGCATGCATGTAGGTTCTTTTAATGTTTTAAATGTTTTCTATGTAATGCTTTCACCTTAAGAATTAATGTGCTTGCTTATAAAGAGCTATGTGGTAACTTCTAACTGAGGGCAATTACATCTTTTCATAGTCTTTGGAGAGAAAGCAAGACACAGATGTTGGCTTGTTCAGGTAGTCTGGCTTGCTGAGGAACTCACAATTTAGACAGGGAACTGTGCAGTCTCAAAAAACCCCACTCAGGAGGGAGAGAGATATTGGACTTTGCCCAAGAGAGGTAACATCAAGGGAGCTGGGTTTCTAGAGTGGGTGGCCTTGATGGACCACATGGGAGGAATGCGGTTGCCCTGAACTGTGCTACACAGAATGTGATTTTTGTAGAGTTACTGCATTAAATTCTGTATCAGCCGGGAGTGAAATGATTTATATATTTTAACTCAGTGATTTATTTAATGTGAAAGTGCACAAAGTAAACAGATTTTATTTTGGTGGCATCAGTTGTGGTGAAGGGAAAGTTCATGGTTTTCTTAGAATAATAAGTTAGCGGAGTATGCTATACCTAACTTGGGCACATCAAAAATTATGTCTCCAAATACAGCCTCATCAGGCTCCAGAATACACAAGAAACCTGTATTTCTAGTGTTAAAATAATTATACCATGGGATCTTTTCTTACTGTCAAAGCTAAATATGTGTTGCTTTTCAGTATATTCTGATTGTTAATTGAACACTGTAAATTGAGTGTCCTCGAGGGAGTTAAATTGACCATGAAAACTGCTTTAAGTTGACTACGGCTTAATTAAGAATTAAAAGTGACTTGCAAAGAGGGAAAAATGTACTTATGGCTTTTTTGTTTATTTATGAGGTGTGACAGTCTATACCGTCACATGAGGTATAAAGCAAGTATGAACATTTTGTTCTGCAAAGGTGTGGGGGTGGAGGCTAGGAGGGGAGGGAGGTCATGTTTAGAAACACCAGGTAAGATTACTTTTCTAGTCTTTCGGCAAAACAAGTAAAGTGCAAGCTTTCTCAGCTCTCGGGGTGGAGTTGCTGAATATTTCATAAAGAATCTTCCTTCCAAGTTTTTATCAGGTGTTTGGGGTTTTTTTTTTTGTTTTTTTTTAAGCATAATTAAGCCTCAATTCTGACCAGCAGCCAAGATGAGCTCAAACCTTTCACCAGGACGACCACGTGAAAGTTATAATCTACATTACTATCGGTCCTATAATTTAAGTGCACAATCTGGAGTAAGTGGGATCACACTAGTTATTATATGCTCCAGTGTCAGAACTTGTACCCACTGTAGGGTCTCAAAGGTAGCTTTCATGTGGGTTGCAGGCTGAATTTCCCTGGTGCTTGCCTTTGAAGACAAACTACAATTTCTGTTGGACTCTACATCCAGACCCAGTCATACCGGTAGAACTTGTGGGTCACACCTCTGAGGTCTCATGAAAGTTACTATTTAAAAACAGAAGCTACATTAGCATCTTAATGACTTAGTATCAATTTAAAAAAAATCTCAGGCCCAACCTAATTAAAATACACCCAGACTTAATAAGTTAAATAAAACTGAAGAAATTCTCAATTATTTTTCCATGACTAACCTTATCTCTACCCATCCTTTCCTGATCAACTGGGGTGAGACACCCTCCCCACCAGCTGCCTCATGAAAGAGATTTACATCTGTCCTGTTGCACATATATAAATAAATGAGAGGGTGGTTGTTGGATAGCCAACACTACCTACCCTGGACGCTTATACCAGGGCTGTATTAGGAAGGTGTATGACGCATACTGTAAAGGGATGGAGCCACGATGTATACTGTAGATTAATAAAAAAGAAAAGGAGTAGTACTTGTGGCCCCTTAGAGACTAACCAATTTATTTGAGCATAAGCTTTCGTGAGCTACAGCTCACTTCATCGGATGCATGTAGCTCACGAAAGCTTATGCTCAAATAAATTGGTTAGTCTCTGAGGTGCCACAAGTACTCCTCTTCTTTTTGCGAATACAGACTAACACGGCTGCTACTCTGAAACCTGTAGATTAATATAAATTTGATCTATGATCTATAAATGGAGAGAGGAAATATGACCCATATTGGAATGGTGAACAGGTTACAGAGAGGTTTCCATCATGGACATTCTGATAATGGATGGTGGCACCATAGTGCATCTAGCTTGACTGTAGAGGTTACCTACATAATGGTGAGACAGGTGGCTTCCTGCCTGATTGAAGGGTGAAGTAAGGAAGAATCTCTGCTCTGTATGTGGCAGGTGGGTTTGCAGTTTAAAAGCCATTGCCTAGTATTCTCACTAACAGAAAGAGAAGATTTGTCTGGAATCCGAAAATATACGGATTATTTTAAAGCACTAAACTCTTTGGAACAAGCCCTGCATGTCACTGTATGTCTGGATAGCACCAAGGAGATTTGGGGAATTTTTCTTAAAAAAAAAAATCAGTTTAATTTAACTGAGATTCTAGTACTTTGACTATTCTTTATTACACAGTAAGTCCCAATATGCAGATCCAGATTAATCAATGGTCAATTGCACAGGGCTCCCATTTTAAGGGGGCCTCCTAACCCCTTGATTTGGGCGGGTGGCATTGCTACCAAGCACATGGGATCACAGCACCACTCAGGTTTGGCCCTGACACCCCTCCTTCATGATGGAGAGGTGGCTGGCCCACATTTGAGTGATTGGTGTTGCGCCCTGGCGTGTGGAGTTGCAGTGCTGGTCAGGTTTGGCCTGCCTGCCCCTCCATCATGACAGGGAGGATGGGGAAGAGGCCCCCAATTTCCACAGTGCACACGGCCCCAAAACTCTTTAATTCAGAACTGCCAGTATAGAAACTGATTTTTACTGAATTTTTACAGGGACGGGCCAAGTACTACAACAATGACTCATGTAGTGTCATCTGAAATGAAGGGGGGAACAGTAACAGTGGTAGCATTTGCATGTCTTCTAAGATGCTTTAGAATGCAAGCATCAAAGTGCAGCTAGAAGCATCTCCAGTTATGTAATGCCTCACCTTATTTAAATACTAATACATTATACAGCACATTACTCATTCAAATCACTGTACCAACTTTAATCCCATGAGGCCATTGTGGTACATGTACTAATCACTGATACAAGTTTTAAATGTATTTTAAGGCAGTTTAACGTATTAGATCGGGACAAATGGCCGTAAGTATTTACCACATAATGCAAAAGTTATTTCACCTATATCCTTTCCAAGATCTGACTTATTTGTCCATGTTAAAATGAAACAAGTAACCATTGTTGAAGCTAGATTTAATCAGGTAATAATAATCTATACTGAATTTAAGCAAAGATGGGACAAAAGAATTCTGTAGATTCTAATACTGGTCAGCAAGTGCTAAGAGTTTAAAAAATCTCATACTTGCTGATCAGATTTGAACAATGCGCACCATGGAACAAATTCATCTTTTGTGAAGTCATTGGAGTTTTGCCAGGGATGAAGATAGTCTTTATTATTTTTTTTTAACCATGGCCCAGCTGCTTCACAGCATTTACAGGGGGTAAAGGATGGAGATTTTGTGTTATTTAGTTTTTCTCTGAATACTGAAGCTGCTGATCAGCAGATTAAGCAGAAGCAAGAAATGGTACAACAAAACACAACTGAACTAGCTCTTTCTTTCTAAGTACTTAGACGGCACAATTTCCTACGCTGGCTGGCAGAACTTCAAAAAGCTTGCAGCATAGATTGTAAGCGTACTCGGCCTTAGAATCAGTTGCTAGGTTAATGTGCAAGCTACCCAGGCATTACAAGGAGGGAGGGATAGCTCAGTGGTTTGAGCATTGGCCTTCTAAACCCAGGATTGTTCAATCCTTGAGGGGGCCATTTAGGGGATCTGCTTTGAGCAGGGGGTTGGACTAGATGACCTCCTGAAGTCCCTTCCAGCCCTGATATTCCATGACAACTGCTTGTTCCTAGTGCTATAAAAACAAACACATAATTTCAAATTTGGCACACGGATAAGATAAATAAGTTATCTTTTCTTTATCCAGAAGTGACAGGTTTGATAGTTTCTCTTCATAAAAAAAAGGGGGGGAGGGGGGGACCTCAAGTACAATATAAACCCTTTTTACTGAGCTCACGGTCCTGTCCCAACCTGCATCTTCCCTAAATGTTAGCAATGGGAAAATCTATGGTAGAAAAGAGTATACTAGTTATTAGCCATAATCATTTATTATATTTTATTACTCAAGATGCTCAGTACATTTCGTAATATTTCACTGTGAGAAAGTAATTCATAATACTTCTGTATCTGACAGCTAATCTTTTTCTTGATAGGCTTGGGGCTTTTATTTCTTTCTCTTTTTTAATGTTGTTCTTCATTCTTCTTTCAGAGCAATGCAAACACACATTAAATGATCAAACAAGTACAGATTACAGGTCTAGTCAGATAATATCTAGTTCTTTGCATCTCCACTTCTCAAAGTGTTTTACAAAGAAGGTAAATAGAATTACCCCCATTCTACAGATGGGGAAGCAGGCACAGAGGAGTGAATTGACATGCCTGAGGTCAGCTAGAAGGCCAGCAGCACAGCTGAGAACAGAACCACATTGCTGGAGTCCCAATCCATTGTGCTATCAGTTAGGCCACACTGCCAAGCACCTCCTGTTTGAAAGTAAGTGGGATATGCTCAGGTGGTTCTCTGCACAGCGCAGCATCAGACTGTTGTAATGCAAAGTTTTTCAGGATTCACAAAAAGAGTTTTGCACGCATGTAACTAAACATCATTCCTACAAAGCACAGACACCAATACTAAATATATTTTTAAAATATTAACATTTACACATTACATGATCAGTGTAAAAAAACTGCAGCAATGCAACCACCATATAACTGGATCTAAAATAAGGCCAGAAATAAATATGCGTGCTCAGCACCTCTGAAAAATCAAAGACACTACTTGTAAGCAGCTAAATTTGAAAATTTTGGCCTAAATATATAAAAACGACATTCCCAAGGGAATTTACCTGTCTTTAAGGAAGTAAATCTGAGGGCCTAAACAGCAAGCATATTCCTTTTAAGGATAAAAATCTGTTTTTTAAAAAACATGCGCCAAAAAACCAAAAGACCCCACAGACACAAATATGTATGGGATTCAAAGCACTGGGGCAAAACTCTCAGAGTGTACTTATATGTCCCCCATCACAGACATCTCTGAGCACCATCTAAGCACTTAAAAATAAAAATAGCATTTATCTGTTACAAATCAGACAAAGGTACACACCAATGATAACACATCAACTGAATTGTCATATTTGGTTACTAGGACAAACAAATGAAAATGTTCTATCTAGGTTCTTATAGCATACCCAGCAGTGTCATTCACTTGAATGGGCTTTGGATCAGGCCCTCACAGTGCAGTGAGATTGCGCTTGGAATCAGACTGTCAGAGGAGAGGGAACATAAAAATTAATTTGTGAAATTAAGTTAATACACCTCTAAATGATCTTATACTGCATATAATTGTAGTTTAGTGGGCTGCATATGCAAACGTAAAAATAGATATTACAGGAATAGCATATCATGATGTATGCAAAATGCATTCCCATCTGCAATAAGAACTGAATAGAAGGGAAAGGAGTACTTGTGGCATCTTAGAGACTAACCAATTTATTTGAGCATAAGCTTTCGTGAGCTACAGCTCACTACATCGGATGCATTCAGTGGAAAATACAGTGAAGAGATTTACATACACACAGAACAGGAAAAAATGGGTGTTATCATGCACACGGTAAGGAGCGTGATCACTTAAGATGAGCTATTACCAGTAGGAGAGTGGGGTGGTGAGGAGAAAACCTTTTGCAGTGGTAATCAAGGTGGGCCATTTCCAGCAGTTAACAAGAACGTCTGAGGAACAGCGGGGGGTGGGTGGGGGGAAATAAACACGGGGAAATAGTTTTACTTTGTGTAATGACCCACCCACTCCCAGTCTCTATTCAAGCTTAAGTTAATTGTATCCAGTTTGGCCCCCAACCTGAAGCAAATACTCACCAGCAACCACACACCACACAACAGAACCACTAACCCAGGAACCTATCCTTGTAACAAAGCCCGTTGCCAACTGTGTCCACATATCTATTCAGGGGACACCATCATAGGGACTAATCACATCAGCCACACTATCAGAGGCTCGTTCACTTGCACATCTACCAATGTGATATATGCCATCGTGTGCCAGCAATGCCCCTCTGCCATGAACATTGATCAAACTGGACAGTCTCTACGTAAAAGAATAAATGGACACAAATCAGATGTCAAGAATTATAACATTCATAATCCAGTCGGAGAATACTTCAATCTCTCTGGTCACTCGATTACAGACCTAAAAGTTGCAATATTACAACAAAAAGACTTCAAAAACAGACTCAGAGAGACTGCTGAATTGGAATTAATTTGCAAACTGGATACAATTAACTTAGGCTTGAATAGAGACTGGGAGTGGATGGGTCATTACACAAAGTAAAACTATTTCCCCATGTTTATTCCTCCCCCTCCCCCCACTGTTCCTCAGATGTTCTTATTAACTGCTGGAAATGGCCCACCTTGATTATCATTACAAAAGGTTTTCTCCCCCCCCCACCCCCGCTCTCCTGCTGGTATTAGCTCATCTTAAGTGATCACTCTCCTTACAGTGTGTATGATAACACCCATTTTGTCATGTTCTGTGTGTATATAAATCTCCTCACTGTATTTTCCACTGAATGCATCCGATGAAGTGAGCTGTAGTTCACGGAAGCTTATGCTCAGATAAATTTGTTAGTCTCTAAGGTGCCACAAGTACTCCTTTTCTTTTTGTGAATACAGACTAACACGGCTGCTATTCTGAAATCTGAATAGAAGGGAAGACTTAACCTGACTAAGACAGGTAAGTTTAATATAAACACACATTGTTTAGCTCTTCAGCACCCCTACATAAGTCACTGTTCATGGAATGTTGCGTAGGAGCTAGTTTCTTGTAAAATAGGTAAACTTTGAATCTAAAAATATTAAGTGTCCCTTAAATTTTAATCGTGTATTGACTGAAATTCCTTCTGAGTCCTCCAATTAGAAGCGGTAGAATTTTCTACCATAAGTAAACTTTACACACATTCAAAACCACACATACACAAACCCATTGGCTATACTTTAATGCACAAATTACTATTGCATCACCACCATGTAAATTAAATGGAAGAGAAACATAAGCTTAAATGGCTTCTTTGGGGTAAAGCAAACTGTCTCAAAGGATTTAGTTACTCTCCTCTGTTTATGCCATGTTTCCGCGGTTTACAAAACTGAGTTCTTGGCTACTACATAGACTCAATTGCTCGCCACTCCTCTCCAACTTGATTCTGAGACTCTTTGGGAACATGATTAAGTTTTTTCCACATTGTATTATTGCTGTTTAAACGCTGAGCTGAAATGGTTCCCAGCCAGAGTATCTGATCGTTGTATAGAACAAGGGGCATTGTTGGTGGAGGTGGTTTATCATGTAATAAATGTGCAGTGTTTTACCCCAGCTAATGTCACGCAGTGTTGGTGTCTGTTTTTAAAATCTCAATGCTGACAAAAGTCTACAACAAAAGGCACTCCAACTTTGCACATTCAAGGGGGAATTAAAACAAAGAGAAACAAATTTAAGATCCTACTGGACATTTAACAAAACCTGATTTGAACTAAAATTGGAGCAAGAGCTGGGATTTGGCTGTTCTGTTCCCAGCCCCTTTGAGAAGGGTCTGAGTTTTGTTTGTGAAGTGACACACACAAATCTCTGTGCTGTTAAACTATAGTCACACAGCAGCTCATGCCCCTTTGGAGATCAAGCTACCTCAGAGGAGATTAACCCTCTCTCTGGAGTGAAGCTGCAGTTACTGGCAATGTACTCCCGACATCTGGGTCATGCAGGAATTAGGAGAGAGCTGCCATCACCTCCCCCTGGAAGCATCACTCACACCACCACAATGCTCCTCCCTGCACAAAACAGACCCCAACCCCGCGGAGAACAAGGCAATGGAACAGGCTGGGAATGGGTTGGCAAATCTTAAAATGGGAGAGAGCCAGTTTTCTCCACAGCAGTCACATTAAAATTCTAAGTTGCTCAGGATATAGACAAAAAAAAGGGAAAGTGCTCCTTCCACCTTGCTGCAAGGATTGAGGGCTCAAAACCATCACCAGGGGCAACGCTTCAAATCCAACTCAGAGACAAGGCAACTAGTTCCTCTAGCAGTCTGTACACGCAGTTGAACTTTGCCAGCAAAATGCATGCAGCCTTCAACACAACCCCCCTCCCCAGAAAATAATGAATGAACCCCCAATAGAGCATCTACCATTAACTGGCCCCTCATGGTCCCAAAAATGTATGTACCAATAATCTAGATCCTGGGAAAGGTGCCCCTTTTTATTTCTGCATCAATCTAATTTAATTAATTAATTAATCCCACCCTCAAACAATAATGCATGCATCCTCCCAAAGGCATGTACCCAATTATAGTGCCATTACAACCACATACACTAAGAAAAATAATGCATATACCCAATCAAAATGCATGCAGCCTTCAAAGCAGGTGCCCATCCACCCTCTGAAAATTTCATGAACTAAATAACAGACTCCAAAGGGGCAACTCTTTGCTCCCTGCAAAAATTCATGTACCAATTAAGCATCATATACTAAAAAAAAAAAAAATTATTTGCTGTTCTGCAAGACAGCCTAGATCATGCAATAATCCTAGCTCTGTCTTGTGTTGCCAGGGCTGGGCATTGCCCAGTGATGCTACAATACATCCCTATCCTTATCCCTTGTTCTCCTGCACTGACCTTCTTTTTGCCTCACCTAGCAGCAGACTCCCCTCTTACCTGGAGAGTCATGATGATGAAGCAGCAAAAACGAATTAACTTCTGCCAGGGCAGAGATGCCGTGCTTATATGCTCAACTCCCCAGTGCTGCCCTGCAGCTCCAGTTATAGTCCCGGGCCACACAAAAGAGGCTGTACTTCGCTTTCCTCATTGGACCAGGACTGAAATGACATCAGCTCTAAGGACTTCTCCCTCCTGGCTTCTGTGTATGAGCTAAGACTGTCAGAACAGCAAAGCTAAAGCAGCTTGGTTACAGAAGGAGCTGGATGCAGAGAACAGCTCCTAACTACTCGTTTATCAAAGGATGCACTGGAACAAGGACACCCTTGGAAACAAAGCCCAAATCTGTATCCTTTTTGAAACTGCTCATCAGAATGATAACTACGAATACACACTGGCTCATTATCTATACTCCTGCGTGATGGGCTACTGGCAACAAGAAAAAGGACACTGCAGCATTTAACAAGTTATTTTGTGAAACCAACACTTCTGCCTTGCTGCCTACTGTGAATCTGATTTGTATTAAAACCTCCATGTTTGCTGTTACCCTTCCTGTGGCCCAAGGACCTCTTGTTGCCAACTGGCAAAGAGATCAGGGGTACGTAAGGGTTTCAGCGATCCCCACAGTCTGATATCTGCATACTAGTCTGCCAAAGAATGTCATGTAAGGTCTCAAATGTCACACTGGTCATCATAAGCATTGTGAGATGTGTGTACGGAAAATATGTGAAGTGTTATGAATATATACTAAAAATTATGCTCCTTAGGTTTGTGAAGTTAAGACAAGTCACCAAAAGGTGATCCACATACTCCTGGTAAGCAGTGGGAAAGAGATTATTATCTCACTCTGACTGGTCACATGCAAATTATGTACTATATGATTCACAATGCCTCCCTCCCCCCAGTTACAGTCTGAGCAAAATGCTAATCAATAGATTGCAGAGGTTGCAGGAAAAAAACAACAACAGACAGGGTTATTTGGTTTAGAAGGCAACAAACTTTTGAAACTACCTCTGGGATGCAGATGAACCCCCAGTTAGTCCTTCAGTCTGTGAGAACAAGCTGGCAGCCGAAGGGAGCTCAACCAACCTGGTTCAAAATGCTGGGAAAAGAACTTGGGGGAAGCTATCTTGTAGGAAATAGGGAATGCCTTGTTAGTTAAGTTTAGGCTCAAGAAAGTGTGTTGTTTTTTGTTTTATATTTAACCATTTGTTTCCAATATTCTCACTATTACTTGAATTTCTGTTCTTTGATAATAAAATTATTTTTCTTTTCATATATATATGCTGGGTGTTAAGCACAGTGGGGAGCCTGAGCTGAATCTTGCAAACTGGCATGTACTATTCCTTTGGGAGTAGCAAATCTGAGAGTTCTGTGAGTGTTCAGAGGAACGGGCTGAGCACTCCAGAGAGACACTCAGAGGACTGGGGGAGGGGGAAGAAGGTGTTGGTGTGTGCCTATCGCTAACTTACACAGAGAGCCAGGCCTGCAGAGGCCCGGAAGGCAGTGCTTGTGCTGCCAGAGGCTGATGGTTTCAGGGAGCTGATCAAGAGCAGGCACAGACAGGACTTCCTCATGCTAAGGGCAGGAGGTGGTGAGGTGTCTCACAACCTGGACCCCCCTCGGAAGCATCACCCTTCCCCTAACCTCTGCCTGTCTGTCCTCAGACTGTGAGATACTCCGGGCCGCAATGATCCCATCTTTAGTGTCTGGATAGCACCTAGGGCATCGTGGGTGCTACCACAGACAAATCATAAATACAAAAGTTATACAACAACAGTCAATATACTGAGAGTTCCAGGGATCATTTTCACTGTTTTGCTAACTACAACACTTCCAGATTGTCATTCTCCATGATGCTTTTAAGAGTCTGAGCCTGCAAGATGTGGAGCATATCCTGAAAGGTACTAAGCACCTTCAGCTCCCAGCTGAAGTCAGGATGCTTGCTGGGTTGGGCATGTATTTTAAAGGCCATTGTTACCTAGATTTTCCGTGATTGCATACTATTTTTTCCTCAGGATCACTGCCTTATTCACTACACCAGATGAACAGTGCTCTCTAAAGGGGTATTAGGTTGATATTTCTTTTTGTACTCATCATTCAGTGTGTGACCCCAGCCTTATATACTGCACACCATCCAAATCCTACACTGAATACACAATTATTAATTTTGTCCCGGGCTTGTTTTTTGGAGCTCATCACTATACTGTCTGTGTACTTCAAAAATGAAGTTAATGAATGCCTCTACACAGTGTTTCCCACACACTCTACAACACTCTACTTTTGCCCTTTCATTGACTCAAGGGGTTACCCAGTTAATTTAGGCACCCGCACCCTTTCCCAGATCCTAGGGCTTTGGGTGAAAGGCACCTACCCATACCCCATTCCTAGGGCTCAGGGCCACTCCTACCCCATTCTTAGGGTGTTAACTGGTTAATTTAAGTACCCACCTTTACCCTGTTCCTAGGGCTCAGGGCATAATCTTCCGTGGATTTGCAGGGTCTTTTACCAGTGAAAGAGCCTTACACAGTAATATCCTTATCCTCTATTTATTAACAGTTACCAAGATAGAATGCACACGCTAAGCATACAATGCTCACCACTCCCAATAAAGCAGACAAACTTTTTCTGGTGGCCAGGTAGGATCAGGTCATCCAGCTACTCCAGCTGCTGCACAATACAGTACTTGAATCCTGCTTAGCTGTACCTTAACCAATCATTTTACTAGAGTATTACAAAATAATTCTTTTATCAATCCTAACATACAGGGAAACAATTCTTTACCCAATATTTAGTTGATTTAAATCTTGCAAAATTAGGTACGCAACAGACAGAAACAATTAAAGAATCAGACAGAAACAATACAGATAAACAACAGAGAAGTAGGGAGCATAAAGGTAAAACAATAAAGTATAGATTTCACAATCACAACGGTTAAGTGATTTCTTGCCAGAGAGAATGCAATCAAACAAAGTTTTCTTTAAACATCTTAAGATCTGTTTCTTTATCTGGTGATGGTGGATACTCTTAGGACAGGATTGCCTTCTTAACAGCCCGATAGTACATTGTTTTGATATAATTTAGAGGGAATGTGCGGATGTGACTTTCTGCCTCTTGGCTTATAGCTGCTGCAGTCCTGATATGGCTGCAGAAAAAGGTCTCAGACCTTACACCTGAGTGAGATACACGGTTGCCAGGTCTCCGGCTTTTGACCAGAAAGTCAATTTGAAAAGGGGCCCTGACTGTGTCCAGTCAGATCTACTGATCGAACACCCCAAATCCTGTTACGGTGGGCAGGTGAGGCAGGGAGATGCTGGGTCATCACCTGTGCCATCCCCTACTCAGCTGGGGCCACCTCCTACCTACATCGAGCAGCTGCAGCTCCCAGCCCTGGGTTGGGAGAGGAGGAGAGGGGAAAAGCAGCGAGTGACAAGGGGAGGAGGGAAGAAGAGCAAATGGGGGTGGGGGTGAGGTGCCCACTTTGAGAGAGTGTACACGGCATTTTATATATTCAGGCATAGTTCCCGTTGACTTCAGTTGTAGCTGTGAATGTTCAGCACGTCTGCACATCAGACCCCAGGAGTCTCAAGCTGGGCACCCAGAAAATAAGGAACATGCTGTTAGCAGCCACCTGTGAAAAATGTGGTTTGAGTGACTTGTCCAGCCTCATTCTGGAACTCTGTGGCAGAGGCAGGGATAGAATCCAATCCTACAGGTTGGTATTCAATTACTTAAACCAGAAGACCATCTTTCTCTGTGGTTTTGGGGACTGTGCCTAAGGGTTGAACTTCCCAGACAGACACTGGGCAGGGAGCCCTGAAGATCTTTTTGTCATGCACAGCCCGCTGGAACTGGGTATAGTAGGAAGAGAGCCTCAGACATAAGACCTTGTATCAGAGGTCTGGTATGAAGCAGGACCTGCTCCCAGAATCTGGCAAGAACAGGGCTGATATTGCAGAAATACACATTCCTAAGAAGTGCTAAGCACAGAGTACTCACGCAAACACATCCAGATATCAAGTGGTACCAGAACATCCTGATATCAAGGATGGTACAAAAACACTCCCCAAGGATAATAGGAACACACAGTATCTTTGTCCAGCCGAGGGGGGAATGGAAAGTCTTGCCATTCACTGAGCCGCATCCATTGTCACGAGCATACATGTCTTTGTATCCTTGTAGAGTCTACCAGGTGCTATTACCGTGTTTGTCGACAATAAACCTGGCCTGGTGCCTTCGTACCTTAATGGATTCTGTGGTCATTGGGTGGTTCGCTCGAGGTCTGCTCTGCCAGCTGTCTGTGCAGAGCTGGGGAGCACATAGGAAGACACACACACACACACACACACAGCCAAACATCTAACAACACTGATGACCCACGACTTCTGATCTGGTAAGTAAGCGAGCTGTCCTCTGTAGAAATCGCAATCTAACATGACAAAACACTACGAGCTAGGGAAGCCCCTTATCCCTTCCCTGCAAATCCCCACAGAGTTTGATGAAATTTGGAACCACTGGATTGCCATCAAGGGGGGCCCATAGGAATTTTAAAAAGAAAGTGGGGAAACATGAACTGGAATATGTAAAGCAACGGCAGAAACTGAAACTTTGAAAAAACAGTAACAAAAATAAAAAATGTACAATATTGCAATTAATGGCCCTGGTAGTAAAACGGCTTAAACAACATGCCACAATACTGGCCAGGCAAGTAATGGAAAAATCCAGGGAAGCAGAAGAGGTAACTCAGGCTTTGAAGACGCATCCCAGGCTGTTGAGCACTGGAAAGCCCAAGCTCTTCTAGCAGGGCAGCAGGCAGGTCTCTTGTATGAGATGCTTAAAAGACCACAATGGACTGGGACAGAAGAAACAGCTAGTGCATGGGAAAGCTTGAAAAGGAAGTTAATGGAAGCACCTACTTTGGACACCCCTCGCAATGAGTTCCCCTTTGTGTTGTATCCTAGTGTTAAAAATGTCTGTATTGTTAGTATGATCACTCAGGATATTGGTGCTGGGGGAAGACCTGTTGCGTATTATAGCAGAGTGTTAACAGCTCCAGAAAGCAAACTGGGAATCTGTGAGCAAACTTCTCTTGTTGCTTACTGGACACTACAGAAAGCCCAGACAATTGCTGGAGCAAGTAAAGTAATTGTAAAAAG